AGTGTGCGTGTGGCGCTGGCAGTGTCCACTCGGAGCACGTGGGGGGGGGGGGAAGTAAAGTAAAGCTATCCCTGTAACAGGCCATGAAGGCCCATAAGGGTTGTGAGACACTGAGGGTCCCACATTATCTATACAATCGGCTCAAAGATTGTGGTAAGGCTATCAGTCTTACGCGCCGGCCGCGCTTTACTACCAAGGAAAATTATTTATTTCCTGGTACTCATTTCTGTTAAGAGGCTGAGTTAACCCCAGGGCCATAGTGCGGCCGGAAGGGTTAGGTCAATTGAAAAAAATCCAATGACCTCATCGGCACTTGAACCCATGACCTTCTGACTTGTAGCATAGTGCCTTAACCACTATGCTACCAAATGCCCCAATTAGCAGCTGAATACCAACATCAACCATGAAATCAATAACATATATAAATCTGTAAATAATGTCGTGCTTAGGCATCCTGTTGCATTAATATTACAGTTTGTCTCAAATGAGACAGAATTTAAATGTTCCATTTAAGATGGTAATATATATGTATGAAACTGTCACACACAGTTAACGAAACAAGCAAGAAAATCCCATATTACACATAAGCAAGCACAGATACATGAACAAAACATGTAATTTCTATTAGCAAGAAAATCCCATATTACACATAAGCAAGCACAGATACATGAACAAAACATGTAATTTCAATTAATTTCTCATAAATATAGCACATTCCTTTGAATTTTCTTTCCACTTGCCACTGTGGCAGTAGGACATAGCTACATTCCAGGTGGCTGCCTGCCATTTGGCTAGCCACTGCAAGCCATTTTAACAACTCTGCACAGAAAGTAATGTCTACTTTGAAGTAAATTTATATACTTAAGCACTCTTAAAAGAAATCTCACATTTTGTTGCTATCACACATTGGACATTATATTTTGGTTATTTATTTCTTACCAATTAAAATTAAAATACCAGAATGAGAAAATATTCAAAACACTTCTCTGGTAGCCATCTCATAAAGTGCAGAGAGAATGTGTTTTTGCGACTTAAAAATCAGGAAAAAGAAGAACACTTAACAAATCTAAGACCTGAAATTAAATATGAAAACAAACAGTTTTCTTAAATGAAGGTTGGGGGGGGGGAGTTCCTTCGTGTATTAAATGCTCTCTCTAGTTAACTAAAACTCCTACATATAAAACACATAATCATTACATTGCTAAATCAAATCTTTAACCTGCAGGTAGCTGTTCAACAGCTAGTTACTTAGTTCATTAACAGTGAATTCTACATCAGTAGTCCCAGTCAGGGTTTCCATTCTAAAACTCCTTTTAAAAGCTCACCTGTGATGTGTCATCTCCTTGTATTTGGCCTGGCACCGCATTAGCCACCTGACCGGATGTCATAGGGGGAGCAGAAATCGTAGGTGGATGTTGTGGTGGTTGCTGTTGAATTGGAGGCTGATGTGGAGGGGGCTGTTGCTGCGGCTGTTGTGGTGGTGGCTGTTGCTGTTGTGGCATTCCCATTCCTTGAGGTGGCATACCCCAAGGACCACCAGGAGGTGCCATTCCACCGTATCCTCCGGTTCCATAACCTCCTGGAAAGCCTGGAGGAGGCATGCCAAACGGTGGAGGCCCTCCAAAATGGGGGGGAGGGCCACCAAAGGGTGGCATGCCAGGAGGTGGTCCTTGCATCATGGAAGGAGGAGGCTGCATTGTGTTGGGCATTCCACCACCTGAAAAGAACACACCACAACTGAAAACTTTAAAAGTATGCAGACTACTGAAAAAAGAAGTACTGCATGTAGCAGACACCATTTTTCAAAAAGTGCCTGCTAGTTGACTAGTCAAGAAATTCCACACCCTTTATGAAACTTGCTTGCTTACTTACTCATGGAGCTGAGCCCTTCTGGAGGAGCCGCCAATTCTGCAGCTACTCAAGAATTTGCCAGCATTTTATGGAACCCGAAGGTTAATTACCATGCTCACAAGAGCCCTCCTCTGGTCCCTATCCTGAGCCAGATCTATCCAATCCATCCCACCCTATCTCTCTAAGATCCATTCTAATATTGTCCACCCACCTATGCCTTGGTCTTCCCTGTAATCTCCTTCCTTTTGGCTTTCCCACCAATATCCTATACGCATTCCTCATCTCCCCCATTTGTGCTACATGACGTGCCCACCTCATCCTCCTTGACTTGATCATTCTAATTACATTCGGAAAAGGGTACAAGTTATGAAGCTTTGTTTTCCTTCCCTACTTTGGCATAGAAATCTCCTAACAAAATTTTCATAGGGTACTTCAGGAATTTATTAAATACATGTTCTAGTTCTTCATAGAATCTATCCTTTATGTCATCAATCTTATCTTCTGTTGGGGCGTGAACATTCATAACAATGCTATCACACCAGTGACCTTTTAGTATTATATATATATATATCCTATCACTAACAAATTCTACCCTCTTAACTGCTGATACAATTCTCTTGTGTACGAAAAAACCTGTACCCAATTCATGATTTTCTTTCACCTTTCACAGGACGCACCATGCCGTGGTAACAGGGACCCACCTAACATGGACCCTTTATGAAACCAGAAGATTAATTATTGCACATCTGGGAACCCATCATGAACCAGACAAACACAGTCCTAACTCTTATGCTATATTTAGGATCCTTTTTAATATTATACTCCCACATATGTGCATGTCTCCCAAGGGTCTCTTCCCTTCATATTTTGAAACAAAAATTCTGTATGCATTTCTCATCTTCCCTATGCATGCCACATGTTCAACCACCTCATCCTCCTCAACTATATGACCCTAATATTTAATGATGACTACAAACTATAAAGTAAAAAAAAAAAAAAAAAAGTTAGTAAAGCTATCCCTGTAACAGGCTGAGAAGGCCCATAGGGTTGTGAGATGTCGAGGGTCCCACATTATCCAGACATTCGGTTCAAAGGTGGTGGTTAGGTTGTCAGCCTTATGCACCGGCCACGCTATACTCCTCAGGAAAATTATTTAATTAATTACTGGTACTCATTTCTGTTAGAGGCTGAGTCAACACCAGGGCCATAGTGCGGCCGGAAGGATTAGGTCAATTGAAAAAAAATCGAATGACCTCATTGGGAGTTGAACCCGTGACCTTCCAGCTTGTAGCATAGTGCCTCAACAAACTACACTAGCGCGTGCCCCCTACAAATTATAAAACATATATTTATGTAGGTTACTTCCTCCCTTTTTGGATAAATCTAAACAAAAAAATTATACTATTTTGAGGAAAAATAGGGGCAGAGGGAGAACATAATTAACTATATTTATATAAGCATGGACTTACACCATTTATGGTAAGATGACAGCAACAATGTTTTGTCCACATGTTACTAACACTGCTAATGCTGTAACCTTCCAAGACTTCCTTTCTGGCTTATTTGCAGACTAAACACCTACCAAGTAATACTACAAAATTTACATTAATTTGTCCTCACAGTGTAATGAGACTATCAAATAAATGATAATTGGAAAGGATGTGAACGGAAGTGGCTGCGGCCTAAACTGAAATAGTATTCTAGCAACTGCTTGGAAGGACTGAAGGAAGCCAAGGAAAAGCTCAGTCAGGATAAACTGTACCCTGGGCTAGATCTGAATACTGCACTTTCCCAAGTGACTGATTCGCTTGTGCCAATTTCCTCAATATATGCCACCTATCATACAATATTACAACAATGAAGGAAGGTTATACCACAGCTCATGTGGTTAGGTGTCAGCTCCAAACCATGGCAGATTGGATTTGATCTCAGGTCAGATCATGTGAGATTTGTGGTGGACAAAATGGCACTGCAGCTGGTTTAGTACTTTGGTTTCCCCTGCCAATTCTCATTTCAGCAGGTGCTCCACATTCATTAATTATCCTGTTATTGACACTATACGATCTCATTACTGTAATCATCCTATCAAGAGTACGTTGCCTAAATATTGACAGCACTGTTAAATAAGAAGCAATAAATAAAAAAATGACTGCTTCACCTTGGTGCCCTTCACTACTTCCATCTCTGTCAGCAGCTATGAGGAACAAAATAACAGACATGTAAATATATTCCCACCATGACGCAGTGCACATAAATGCTCTGCCAGTAACAACATTATTACTATAATGGTCAGCACAGAACACAAGAACTACATTTTACTTCTATTTCTGAGCACGAAACAATATAAAATTTTCACACCATGTAATAAATCCAGTGAATCTCATTACTGTAAATATCATAATTTTGATCTGAACTAACAGACATTCAAGTCTGTGGCCATAATGGAAATACAGAATGGTACAAAAGTAAAGACACACTTCATAATTTTTATGTATATTTTTTCCTTCACATCAAAGTGGAAGATGGCCAGTGTGCCTACTTGAAGTCATAAATGAGTATGTAGCTGTGAGATTGTAGCAATAACTGCAAGGAAATTCATGTAAAAAAATTAATTAAATAGGCAATGAATGTGTCCTGACTTCTGCCCCATTCTGTACATAATCTCACCATCAGGAGGTTGCTGTGCATTGTTTCCTTCGTTGTCTGGTTTCTGGGAAGGTGCAGGCTGAGCCTGTGGTGGTACCTGTAATGGTCCTGAACTGTTGGGACCACCAGAATTAACTCCTGCAGCTTGAGCCATCACTTCCACCTGATAATAAATGTATCAGATCATTTCTAACACCTTACAAAGGAAATTCAGAAGAATGAGAGGTTAAAATGAAATTATGAAAGTGGAAATAACACTTGAGAAATGAAACGGACAATAATTATGAACACCAAATGACTTCAAACAAACCAATACATCAAAGAGACCCTTATTTTGCAGAAACATATTTATTTACCAACTTGAATATAATGCCATTTAACTGACAACTTTTCAATTTATTCTCCCCTTTTGACTCAACAACCATGCCTAAATTTATTTGTGTGAAAGCAAAGAAGTCCATGTTAGGTGGGTCCCTTGTCACCATGGCATGGCACATCCTCAGGTTGCAGATGGAGATGCCCTCCAGGTATGGAGGGAAGCTGCAAATATATTGAATAAGCAGTTGCGAACAGCTGACATGGGCTGGTCCTCCAGCTTGGGGCTAACAACTCAACATAAAAAATAATCCAGTTATGAAAATGAACACAAAAGCCTTGGGCCTGGATGGATCCTCTGGATAAACACCCTACGCTGAATAAAACGGACAGGAGATTCGGCACATGGAACATCAGAAGTTTGTATAGGGCAGGTTCACTCAGGGCAGTGGCAGGAGAATGAGGAGCATAACTTGTACTCTTCTTCAAGTATAATTAGAATGATCAAGACAAGGAGGATGAGGTGGGCAGGGTATGTAGCACGAATGGGGGAGATGAGGAATGCATATAGGATATTGGTGGGAAAGCCAGAAGGAACAAGACCACTGGGAAGACTATGTTGTAGGTGGGTAAACAATATTAAAACGGACCTCAGAGATATAGGATGGGTGGTATGGATTGGATTGATCTGGCTCAGGATAGGGACCAATGGAGGGATCTTGTGAACATGGTAATGAACCTTCGGGTTCCATAAAATGCTGGCAAATTCTTGAGAAGCTGCAGAATTGGCGGCTCCTGAAGAAGGGCTCAACTCCATCAGTAAGTAAGAGAGCACAAAAGCAGAATATTGTGGTATAAATGAGTGATTATGCTGAAAAGAGACATTCTGCAGTGTCACAAATGTTAGTCTGCAGTTATGAAGGGAACCTTAAATCAATGCTCATGAAGCATACAGAATGGTCAGGATGTAAAACAAATTCATTCAGAATTTCGGTACTAACCTGTTCTTGTGTAATTATCTTCACTGCAGGGCCCTCTGGCTTGGTCCACGTTGTCTCCCTAGTTCGAGCATTGTAGAAATATGATTTTCCTTCGCTTGCTTTGGTTTCTACCCAAATTTCTCCTGTCAAATCCATGCCAGGCAAGTTGGCATTCTAGAAAATATGCATAAACAAAAATAAATGCTACAGGCCATAAAACACAGGGTGGGGCGCAGAAACTTCCTTTTGGTGAAGACGCATTGTGAAGGGAGGGGAGGTCGCAGAAAAGTGGGGATAGGCTCAGCGAACGCAGCAGTCACGGAAGTTTCTGTCTAATACCCTTCAGTAGGAAACATGAGGTGGATGAGTGAGCAGCATGCATTTGCTGTCAAAGCCTATTTTTCAAACAACCATTCCTACGTGGCAGTGCAGTGTGCATTCCGTACTCACTTCAGAATTAAGCCCAGAGGTCCAGTTTCCGACCAGAAATCGATTGTTTTGTGGGTAAAGAACTTTAGGACAACTGGGAGTGTGGTGAAAAAATCATCAGGACAACAACGGACCATTACAATGCCAGAAAATGTGGAGGCAGTTCGACAGTCGATTTTGAGATCTCCAAGACGCTCCGCTCGCAAATATGCAGTCGCCCTAGAAATATCCAATCGTTGAATGTGCCGAATTCTTCACGAACATCTTAATTTCCATCCCTATAAGATGGTTGTTGTGCAAGAATTGTCACCACATGATTTTCAGAACTGAATAACGGCGTGCGAAACGTTATTGGAAATTTTATACCCGAATTATTCATGAACACCTTCATTTCCATCCCTATAAGATGGTTGTTGTGCAAGAATTGTCACCACGTGATTTCCAGAACTGAATAACGGCATGCGAAACGTTATTGGAAACTTAAAACCTCCCAACACACTTGTTTTCTTTAGTGATGAGGCACATTTTCACCTATCCGGATATGTCAACAAGCAGAATATGTGCTATTGGAGTGGTAACAATCCCAGAGAGTTCCATGAGAGGCCACTTCGTAGTGATAGGGTGACAGTATGGGGTACGTTGTCAAGAGTTAGAATTACTGGCCCTTATTTTTTTTTGAGGAAGACAATCATGTAGTTACTGTCAATTCACAGCGGTATGTGGACATGATCAAAAACTTTTTTGAACCAACTCTTGAAGAAATGCATCTAGAAAATATCTGGTTCCAACAGGATGGTGCCACGGCCCACACAGCCCGAGCTTCAATGACAGTCTTGAGGGCGAAGTTCCCTGGACAGCTCATCTCGCTTCGAGGTGACATCCCGTGGGCAGCACACTCACCTGATCTAACGCCCTGTGATTTTTTTATGGGATACCTCAAGGCAGAGGTTTTTAAACATCGCCCCACAAACCTGCTTCAGCTGAAGAATGTTATTCGGCAGGAAGTAGCCCAAATTCTGGTGCACATGTTGGAACATGCAGAGGGGAACTTCAGAAAACGGTTGCATCAGTGCACAGAGAACAGTGGCCACCACCTTCAAGATATTTTGTTTCAAACTACATGATTTAAAACTTTAAAGTATGTTCTTTCATTAGCTAAACATAAATTTTGTCTATCAGCAATAATTTTTCTTTTATTCACCCTCAAAAAAAGGAAGTTTCTGCACCCCACCCTGTATCATCAGCTTCCCATGAATGTCATATTACAAGGAAATAAGTTGTGTAAATGCAGTTCCACTGCAACAAAACCATGTCAACCCAAAACATTTCATAACATGAGACCATATTACAAAACAGCACATCTAATTCCTTGACAATTGCAAACAGTTCATATGAATTGCAAGCTGCACCTTATGCTATCTAGTTACAGCACAGGAAACAAACTCACAGGTGCATTTGCTGGTGGCATGTTGTTTCCAGGGCTTCCAGTTGAATTCAATGGAGGAGGTTGTTGTTGCTGCTGTTGCTGTTGAGGAGGAGGACATCCCATTGGAGGTGGCCCATATGGTCCAGGACCAGGTGGAGGCATACCCATATGTCCCATCATGTGGGGTGGTGGCTAAGTGGTTGTGAATAAAAGGATAACTAGTATCAATATTTTCTGTAACGTACAAAGATGAGCTGACAATGATGAACCATTGTTGAAATATGGTAAACATGGCAGCAGTAGTACAAGGAAAAGTGATAGTAATCTATCATTATGTGAGTGTTCTTCAAATGTCCAAATGTTGCCTTGTGATAAGGAATACCTCCAGGAAGTCCTACAACCTCTGAAATATCATATAGATACATATTTCCATCCAGTCAACAATGCTGAAAGAAAACACCCCATAATGGCAGCAGCAGTAGTAGTAGTAGTAGTAGTAGTAGTAGTAGTAGTAGTAGTAGTAGTAGCAGCAGCAACAGTGGTAGTACTAGGAGCAGCAACACTGGTGGCAGTGATGGTAGTAGTAATTCCAGTTCAAATAAGTGATGGGCAAATAATAATGCTATGATCTTAGAAAAACAATTAAGATGTGCACTGAATTTACCTGTCTTACTAGCATGGCCAGTGACATTCTTTGATATTACTGGTGCTGATTATTATCAGCGACTTATCTTTGACCCTCCCAATTTAATTGTTAAAAATGGCAATAAAAGGAGTGACATCACATGACTAAACAATATGCATAAATTTCACACAGTTCACTATCCATGTACAAGAAAATACACATACAGATTATTTCCATATATATAATATACACACACACATATATTACATTTACAGTCAGTCACATGATTACAAACAACATACACAGAAACACAGAAATATACAAGATGTCAAGAAATTTATGCCTACTGGCACCATCATGCAATCACCTGATGAGAACTGAGATACAAATTTCCCTTTATAAAATTTCATTTGACACATAATTTTCTCAAAAATAAAATAAAATAAATAAGACAGACTGGATGAATTTTACAAGGTAACACGGTATGGATATTCGCGGCCATGTACTGTACCATGTCATTCTTCATTAACAATGGGATGAAAATATCCAATGACAAAAGTTCGATCAGCACACAATCTATATAAATAAAAATGTAAATGTTCGTTTGTTAGCCCTCGAAAATCTCCGGAAGTTCTTCACCGGTTGCTTCGAAATTTTGACACAACGTTGCATTCGAATACGCGCGTTTTTATATACCTACTAGCTGTACCCGGCCACGCGTGAATCCGGAAAGTATACTTCCATGGAAACGCAATAACAGTTGCATAGGAATTGCCAAAACAACAAACGTGATTCCCCAGAGATTAAAGTACAAGAGGTTCCGTTGCGTAAAGGATGAAACCGGAAAGTATACTTCCATGGAAAGGCGATAACAGTGGGCAGTTGCATAGGAATTGCCAAAACAACAAATGTGTTTCCCTGGAGATGAGAGGATAAGAGGTTCCGTTGCGTAACAACGGATGAAACCAAACACTTCTACAAGGTGTTCTGTGCTAGCATTTCCTAAGCAACAGATGAAACTAACTCTTCGATAAGGTATTCCCTATCCCTGTAAGTTTTGAGGTTTTCACGGTGATGACTGTAAAGAAAGTCGTCTTCTGGGTTTAGGCGCCGTGTATTCTTCGTATACACGGCGCCTAAACCCAGAAGATGACTTTCTTCTTATTCCCTATCCCGTCCAAATGCTGGCTATATGTATAAGAGAGTTTAACTCTGGCGACTGTTCAGCATCACGAGTGTCTCGAGTATCACAAGAGATTCTGAGTGAAATCACAGCACAGATCCTGAGTTTGCACTCAAGAGTTTTGGATTCGACTTTGGCAGCGTTTCCCCGGTGATAGACAACAGAAGGCTCATTGTATAGCATCCGCCGAGGTATAAATAGTCCAGCTTGGACAAGAAGCAGTCAGTCTCGGGGCAGATGCCGAGGGATACAGAAGAGTCTGGAAGTAACCGCCGAAGGAGTCAGTCTTGCGATAGCTACCGCTGAATATAAACAGTTTCGATTTATTTTCATTTTGATTTAATTATTTCATGTGACATTGCATTGGAATTGGGCTGTGTCGCTTACCATAGCGTTCATTTCATGAGTATAGTTTATTTTTCACTGTTTTTCATTTGGTTTCCTTAACTGTTTTCCTTATTTTTCAGTGCAATTGGCAGTGGGACTGAGCTGTGTCGATTGATCTACATTTGAATTGAAATATTTCATTAGACTGAGCCACAGCAACACGTGGCCGGGTACAGCTAGTTTTCACATAAAATTAGTCAATTATCAATTTTCAGACTAAGGAACTTTGGTACTTCTACTTCACATATTCATTAATCTCCAAGGGTATTTTCCCCCTAAATCTGACAGCTACACAAATGTACTGGTCACCAAAAAGAACTGTTCTGTCAGATTGCAGCCCTCACCACCAACAGTCAGAAACATTAATTTCTTTCTGTTCCTGTAATGTTTGTCCCAAAAAATACACATGCCAGACATAAGAAAAATCAAATTTAAATATCTTGTTACAACTTATTAATAATTCTGATCTTAACTTCTTTGAATGTGGCTTGCCATCTTTTGTGTGTCACAGTGGTTGAAACTAAAAAAAGCAAACTCCCAAATGTCATGTGTGAAAGTAGTTGCCTGTATAATTTCTCTGGTTACCACTAGCAAACAGGAAAACCACATTCTTTGAACCTGCTGAGCATTATATCATATTTACATACCAGTTATTGGCTGGTTATTAGTTACAAATTTATATTAAGTTTATTTTATAAACAATTAAAGTAAGTTTATTGACTACACACTGTTTGCTCATGGCTGTAAAGCTTTGGTTTGATGATTGTACAAGACACCTCATATTTGGTTCAGCAATTAATACACTTGCATCATCTTCAAATATAAAAGGTGTTAAGATTGAATTACTATGGGGTGGAAGGTCATTAGTATATAATAGAAAAAGTGATGGACCAAGAATGGAGCCCTGAAGCATTCTATGTTGAACTTTACCCTTGTTGCAATACACATTTTCCTGAGTACGTGGAGAGCTTAGAGATAACTCTACCCTCTGCTTCTAAAAAATGAAGTAAACTACCTACTTGCATTTCCATTTATTCCATAATAAGGTAGTTTAGTATGTATAACAAATTTAAAAACCTATAATGTGGAACGCAAAAAGAAAACCCAAATAAATGCAAAAATATTGTAACAAATGCTTATACGAAATCTTACCATTCCTGGTGGAGGTGGACCCATCATATGTGGATGCGGATGCATTCCTGGAGGTGGCATTGGTCCCCAGTTAGGATCAAATGGCGGAGGTCCACGGAATCTTGGACCACGAGGTCCTCCAAAGTGAGGTGGTGGTGGACCTCTGAATGGAGGCCCCCTTGGACCATAACCCCGCCCACGGAATCTTGGTGGGCCATGTCCTGGTGGGGGACCTCTTGGCGGTCCAAAGTCATGAGGTGCTCCACGACCTCGATTTCTTTTAAACAAGATGGAATGGAAAGAGTAATACCAGTATTGTAGCACTACATATATGATAGAAAATACATAAGTAATATTATCCATTAACAATATAAAAAATGTACTTTCACTAATATGAGAAAGCCATTTAACCACCTAACTATACAACTGCACATCTAAAGTAACAAATCCCAAATTCAAAAAATCCTTGATTTTTGTTTATAGCATACACAAATACAACATGGTTTTGAATATCTATGAACATGCACAGAAGAACTAATTATACCTACTTGCAGGCTTAATAAAAGCTTAGAGATCTTGAGACCACAATGGAAACAGAAAAACATGGAAAATATGTATTTTAAAATGTTTATAAAATACACATCACTTTCACTGAAATTTCACATAACAAAAGATAAATAATGAACAATTCCCTCACCAAGTTTAGTACTACTTGTATTTATCAGAATAACTTGTGTAGCCGTGCACATCTTCCAGTTCTAGTATTTAAAAACCACTGTACCCATGAGTCTTTGAAGGGGCACATTCTTTTGATAACAGTCCATTCATACACCGTGCAAACCACTGAGCCACTCTGGAGAAGAGCCAGACAACTCGCTTTGTTTCATTTCTTTGCCAATTATATTCCAAATTCATGCAATGCACTGACAATATTATATTTTCATTCATTCATTCTTTTATTAATCTTCTAGATCATGATACAATGATATAGGACAAGTCTTTCAGCTAATATACATTATTAAATTACAACAATCTTAATGCTAAAAAATTATATTAGATATACAACATTTTATACATTCTATAGTATATACTTTTGTTTATATCAGTAGCCAATATTCGAGAATTCATTGTTCAAATAGTCCTCCGCTGTGTAATAGCACCTCTGAATAATAACTTCAATTCCCTTGTGAACTTATTTTTTTCTATTTCTTTTATGTTGTTAGGCAATTTGTTGTAAAAGATACAGCCAGCTACTGAAGGATTACTATTATAAAGTTCTAAGTTGTGCCCATATATATGAGTCTTTACTATTTCTTGTGTTATATGTATGTATTTGTTCATTCACTGTGCAGTTACACTTTTTTTACATATAAGATTGTTTCTTGTATATATAGCAAGTATACTGTTAGTATCTTTAGATTTCTAAAGCTATCCCTGCACAATTCCAGAAGTTTTAGCCCTGCAATGTATCTTACTGCCCTTTTTTGGGGTACAAAAATTCGTCTAGTGAGGGTCTTAGCACTACGTCCCCATACTATTATTCCATAATTTAATGGCTGTAAACTGGTTTCAAAACTACAATATGAGAATTCCAAATTTTGTCATCTGTGAATATGAAAAAATTAGAGCTACGTTCCACAAAATTACAGGCACCACACCATAATCATCTACAAGGGCCAATTGACTTCTTCATGATTTATCGTCGCTGTCCTCCTCCTCCTCCGCCTCATCATCATCATCATCATCAAAGAGCTGAGTCAGCTCTGTTAATATAGCAACAGACTAACAAGCTTGATGGCCGGGGTTTAATCTCTGGCAGAGGCAATTTTTTTTTTTCCACAGCACTCATGCTGGTTCTGGGGCCCACTCAGTCTCCTATCCAATGGGTACCAAGGGCTCTTTCTGGGGAGGGGGGGGGGCAGAGTGTTGACCACACACTTCCAACTAGTGCAGAGGTCAAGAATATGTGGATCTATAAATGCATACACACCTTATACACCTTAATTAGTTAAGCAGAGGGCCAACTTTACCTTACCTACTCAATAAGAGTGTTAACACAAATTAAAAATTTTTTTGAGAATGTAAGCCAATATTACCAAGATAGAAGCAGCTTCATACGAGTATATTTCATGCATGTCTACAGGCACCACGGCTCAATTACTTCTACTCCAATGCACTATATATTGCACTGAGTGCGCACAAGCACAATCCACACAACCAAATACTCAGAGTATTATGCAAACTTCCACAGCAGCATCCTATGCAATGATATGATACCTATCAGTTGCCACTGTGGAAAGCTTGCAGAAATATGGCTGTTTTAAAGGTAACACACACGCTGCCTTGAAATGGAAGTGAACAGAATACAACCTCTTGGAAAAATACAGTGATTCCTGAGCCGGTCCTTTCATCAACATACCAAACAGAAACTGGTAATGCCCTGCAAGTTGCAGCACAAAGGTGCCATTTCCTCAAATATTAATTTCTGGGAGGCATTCAGAAAGTTCAGTAACATTCCACTAGGAAATATCCAGTATATAAAAGTGGACATGCCTACTTAACTCTATTGTTCATACAGAAAAAATGTTGCTTCTGAGAGTTAGGTGTTGTACATGTTGCATAAAGCAAAGTTCTAGGTTATCATCACAATGTCATATGCGCTCTTTTTCAGGATGGACAGCCGTAAGAGGCAAAGGAACAAAGTTTGTACCATATTAGGAGATGAAACAGAATTACACAAGGTCAATTGCTATTCTTTGTATCTTTTCTTTTGGAGGATCTGTGGCTGCTTGCTGGCACAAATACTAAGCAAGTGTTTGTATGCGTAATATGCCTTTTACATAAATATGCTTTAGTAGATGCCATCAACAAACATGGGTCAAGGTGGTTAACCAGATAAAGAGCAGAATACAGCCTAATCCTCGCCAACTACTACCTCATGATACAAAATGCTTCACCTCCTGTACTATTTGCTAAATCTGTTTTAACGGACCATCAAAACCCCCTCTAAATTACCAAATCCTGAACTAGCATTACAAATCAGTAACCTCTACAGAGGTATATGAAGCAGCAGTTCTCGGCGGGAGTGACTGCTGTGTGTTGACACTTCCATATCCAAATTATGGAATAATCGCTCAATAATACCATGTGTTTCAATGCTCATGCAGATAAAATACTGTGACTGATGGCTGAAGAAGTCATCCACTACTTGGTAAGAGCTCAATGACCACATATCGATGCCAATGGACATGTGCACAACAACAAAAGAGATTGCTGAGTATGACATTTTCTATGCAGTCCATGCCGAGGCTTTTCAACCACAACCTCCAAGCTGGCAACTACCAGTGATGGGCAGCAATGGCTAGGTGGCCATGAGTTGTAGCTGAGAGTTGAACTGAAGGCCAGTCATCATCCAGTGGGCATGTGAGCACCGAAGTAGAAGAACCTCCGTTGTTAACAGCTGTAACCTACCGACACCTAGTAAAGACTGTAACCAAGCAACGACTAACAAACATACAGACTTAGCGGGTGTTATCATTACTTGTGGTTACGAGATATGTGCTAAATAAATCCAATTAACAATCCAAACCCCACTTATAGTAACTAAATCGTGAAAATGCCATTAAAGTGAAATCATGTAAATAAAATATTCTTTACAAGAGTTCCTCTAACAGACAATTTTTTGGGACCAATATATTCCTACCTGTAATTTCCTCTCCCTCTTGACTTCGGCATTGGCCTATAATCTTCTTCATCATCATCTGAGGGTTCGTCATCTTTATCGTCATCGTAATTGTCTGGAGACTGATCCTTCTCACAGTCATCCGCCATTTTAGAAACAAAAACTTCGTGTGGAAGCAATGGACTCGCAAATTCAAGATAAATGCACTACAGACTCAAACAAATATTGCTTTCACACCATGCATACAAACGTTCCTAATACACAAACAGCAAATATATAATTTCAACCCCACAGCTTAATATTCTATGGAAGTTGCTGCGATTGGATTCGTGAACTGTTCTCTTAATATCTCTCGCAGTCGCTCAACCTGGCGCAAAGCTTGATCATAACAACGATCATAACTTCCGTTTACTCGCGTCCCCACGCGTCATTCTACCCTTGCGCGTGGATATTTCTTGTTGCATGAACAGGCAGTCAGCCTAACACTGTAGCAGTGCTTCCAAGCGGAACTAGCAGGAAGCAGAGTCACTCATTCACTCTCCCACGTGTTAGAGCGCAGGCAGGTTCCATATTGCTCCGTTGTTAACAGTTAATACAGTTAATATCTATAATGAGTTCATCAAGTGTTTGTTACAAGTGCAATCGCTCAGGACATTTTGCTCGAGAATGCCCTCAAGGCGGTGGAGGATTTAGTCGCGGTGGTGGAGGAGGCCGTGGAGACAGTAAATGTTACAAATGTAATGGATTTGGGCATTTCGCCCGCGACTGCAGAGAAGAGCAAGACAGGTGTTACCGCTGTAACGGTGTGGGCCACATCTCCAGAGATTGTCAGCAAAATGCTGATGGACCATCATGCTACAACTGCAACAAGACTGGCCACATTGCACGTGAATGTCCAGACACATCAAACGGCTACGGTGGTAGATCCGGTGGCTCTTGCTATAACTGCAACAAGACGGGCCACATCGCACGCAACTGTCCAGAGGGGTCATCAGCCAAAAGTTGCTATCAGTGTGGCAAGACTGGCCACATAAGTCGTGATTGTGATCAAGAGAGAAACTGAAGATGCGATGTTATTAAAGACTGGAGTACTTTTTTGTATGAAGGTATAAGTAACTTGTATGTGAATACATAAAAAATTAATTTTTGAGGGGTCAGGTGACTTGTAATCTGTCGCATTACACAGCAGTGTGTGACATGCACGAGTAAAGAAAGTTGAAAATACTGAGTTAGTTGTGTAGTATTATAGTTAGAACCCAAACCCTTCCATTGCATGAGCTCCACATACCAATTTAATGTGTATTGATTATATTACGGAGTACCGATTTAATCAGTGACGCCGACATAATGGATTTCTAGGATTGCGTGACGCCATTTTGAGTTTTGTTTATGGATTGTGATTAACGATTTTATGTCACCCATGAGCAGTAGAAGCCTGCTTTTGTGGTTACAGTGACTAATGTATTTAATACTGATTAGAGTGAAAGCGGCATAATGTTTGGAAGACCGAGGAACATAGAACCAATTGGAAACTGTACTGTTACCCCCCCCCCACGATGGTGATGGAATACCCATTGCAGTAGAAAATTGTGTAATTAATTTATTTACAGTTTCCAAGGAAGTTTAACCATAAGAAGTAAATTATTTTAAGTTAACATTGCTGTTGTCGCGACGAAACTTGGAGAAAATGTAATGTTACAGGGCAGTTTCTCATAAGGCAAAAAAAAAAAATGGCGTAGGAAGTGTCGATAACGTTAATTGTAAGGACAAAAACTTTTCTACCTACGTAGCTGCTAAGAACACAGTAAGTTTCCTTAAATGTTCAGTTTAAAGCGTATGTACGTATGTATAGTGGAAAGTTGCACGTAACGTACCTTATTCAGTTTGTTCTGCTTCCAGCAATGGCTGAAATACGCCCTTGTTATAGAAGCTGGTGCTGTGCCTGCTTGAAGTATTGCCTTATGGTATGTATTACGGATTTGTAAGTAGTTTTATACATATAAAATCCGTATACAATATCCACCCCTTTCTGTTCACAATGCGTGAGATGGAATCAACAGCGAATCGACAGTCTAGACTAATGGAAGTTTACAGACGTTTCGGAGGAACGTAACTGCCACAATTTACAGGGTCGAAGTAGAGGGGTCTGCTTTCTGTTTGTTGCACTCTTTGACCCCGAAGGTGGAGGCAGTATGTTCTGAAACGTGAATTTCCACCAGCATACCCAGTGTCATCCCAGATGATGGTGCCCTTCATAACCTTGGCTATGAGTACCTGAGATCTGCCATGATAGACTAGTGCTAAAAGAACGAGTGATTTGCCAATATGGCTGCACTGTATGGAGGAAAGATCAACTTCAGATGCTTTCCTCCTAGGAAGATTCCCTATGTGCCATATCACTGGCAGGTACCATGGCTATGTATAATATATACACTTTTCCATTAAACCCACAGATCAAGCAGAATCTCTAGAAGTCTGTTTAAAACCAGTTTGATTTATGAACATAGCATTTATAATTTACAGTTTTCTGTTGATGAAACTTTTAGGCTGTTGCAGCTTTCTATGTACAATTCTGTTGGAGTTCTTTATGTACTCTGAACTCCCCTCCATCAGAGCACCGGGGAATTTAACTGCATTGTGTAGCTAGTTTGAAAATTCTTAGTAGAAACCACTGTTCAGATACATCACACTATCTACGAAGAAACTGGATTTGGCGATTAAAAAAAAGGTAAGATTTACATTGAAAAAGATGATTGAATGTGAAAGGTGAAATTGTTTCTGTACTTAAGCACCACATCATGAAGATGAATGGAGGAGTGGTGATCTTGCCCAGCACATTTTGTATAAGAAGCTGGATGGGTCCCAGAGCCAGTCTGGATGCTGTGCAAAAGAAAAAAAAAACATCTTGTCCTTGCAAGGAATCAAACTGCATTCCTCAGTCCTGCCCATAGCTTAGTCACAATACTGACTGGTAAAATAATTGTTCTGTTTTAAGTAATCGTGCTCCGCGACCTGAAGATGAAGGGGGGGGTAGAGTTATAGCTCCACCATTCTTCTGCACTAGATGTTGACAAATGGTCAGCTTCATGCCCCAGCTATTTTACTCCCAGGGTACCCATTGGACAGGAGGCTGGGTGGGTTCCACAGCTGGTTTTGTTGCTGTGGCAAAGAGAAAAAAACCTTGTGCCCCTGCCAGGAATTGAACCCCAGCCCATAGGCCATCACTTATTGATCGGCAGCATAAAAAAGCTGTACACCTAACTATCAGCATGAAGCATAGAAAAGGATAGTTCAGTGACACAACCCTTGCTAATCTGGATTAATGAGCCAAAAGATAGCCCTAAAAGACAAAAAGAAACTTATACTATTAAATTTTCCATTCATTTTCTAAGTAGTGCTCATGAAAATAAAATCTGCAGCAGTTTCTTCCCGTCAAGTTGAATTACATAGCCCTAAAAGACAAAAAGAAATTTAGAAAACAAATGGAAAATTGAATAATATGGGTAGTGCTCATGAAAATAAGAAAATTCACTCCAGCAGTTTCTTCCTCTGTCAAATTGAATTACACGGTCTCCATCCAAGTCAAGCCATCTTGGATGTTTTCTTATGTGGTTTCAGTCTCTCCAGCTGCCCTCAACACAGTCTGAAAGCCCTCTTGCTCCTATATACCATGTGTCTTTTTAAGCTATGGTACTTAACTGTAAACAGAATTTTTCATAATTTGATCTGGATTAACTGTAACCTGGTTAGTGAGGGGTTTACTTTACTGACAAATGTAGATCCAGTATGTCAGTACTACTTGTGATGCTTCTCCTCTTACAAAGCCCCATCCATTTTCATGCCAAATGTTTTGTAGAAATAAAGTTGAGGTGTTTCAACTAAACATTGATTGAAAACTGCCAAATAACTGGTATAATCTGTGAAATTCTGATGTCACAGAACTCAGGTCTTTTGAGGCATGATGGGACAAGAGTGGAGTAGAACCGAAATAACTTAGAGTCTAAAGGGCTCTGATGATGGTGTATGACACTTGGGATTACTACATTTTTGGACTTCATCATCTGGTATTCTAAAGAACAACATTTTGGTAACTGCACCAGTGACTTTCTAATGGACCCAACAGTAGGTGTCTTCTACCCCCTCACCTAAGGATGGAAACATATCCAGTTTCTGAAATGTGTTCCTTTGAATACCAGATAATGAACAAAATCCAAAAGCCCAGTAGTCCCAAGAACTGAAACATTTTGGGTTGAGAGTGACCTAATTAACAGTTAATCTTCTGTTCAAAAAATTTTTTTTTTCCCTTGGCACTACAGCCCCAGTGGGCCTAGGCCTACCTCCATGAACTTCTCTGTCCACTTTGGTTTTTCTAGATCTTACACATGTGGTAGGACTCCTTGGGCGGGTGATCAGCTCGCCGCAAGGCCTCTACCTGTACACAAACATCCATGCCCTGAGTGGGATTCGAACCCACGATCCCGGTTTCCAAGCGAGCAAAGACAGTACATGCCTTAGACCGCTCGGCTACTGTGACCGGCAGTTCAAAAATTTACCAGATCTAAATTCTCTGCCTGGAAGAAGGAAGTTATCAGTGACAGATTAAGTTGAATTATTTATGATTTGAAGTTCTCAGAGCAGTGGTTATGAAGAGTACTGTCTTCTGGGATATGACCCCACGTAGTCCGTTGAAAGTCAACCAGTGTTTTGGAGGAACATAGCACCATCTTCAGGGCCGAATAAACCAAGCAAGATACCAGTATGAAAGCAGGTGGCAATCCAAATTAAATTACCTCATGTTAGGTAAATTAACATTAATTAAAATGTGACTTCAGTGTTATGAATGCCATTTATTCATACTCTGTGTTCAATAAACTATGAAAAATTGAAACTGAACAGTTTGGCCTACAGGTAATACTCTTAGACTTGCCTCTGTGGGTTCCCACTTTGAATCCTGGTGATGCAACCAACTATCCTGAGGGTTTTGTGGTTTTCTTGCAGTCTCTCCTATCAATTGGGATAGGCCATGACCAAAATAAATAACAACCTTGCTCTTTCCATGCTTGATGGCAAAGTCCCCTTCTCATCTGCTGTCCTGCTTGTCATTAAACTGCTACATAGTTTTCAAACAGACATGGAAAATATGAAGCATGTATTTTCAGGAACTCATTTCATATTTAATTTCCTCAGCTGCTTGACCCCATTATTGATTATTTGTTCAGTAACTTGTTGCATACTATGTGCTACATGTCATCCCTATTTCTTTTCTACTTTGACAGTGCAGTGCATTAAACTATTTTCAAAACTAACTCTCCCTCTCACATTGCCTCCTAATACTGTGTAGCCAGTGTCAGGTATTAGTCACTTTTATTTTCTTCCATATCTCTACATACAAACTTGCAGTTGCCTCGTTCAAATTCTGTTCATGTTAATGCTGGTAACACTGTTTTAACTTGTTTTAGAAACATAAATTTTCGTAAAGATGTTGCCTTTATATATGTAGCAAGAGACTGCAAACAATTCTGGTATCAGTATCAATGCAGTTCAAAATAAGATCTGAACTCGGGAGCCTCGTTTCAATATGCACCACTGTTTATCATATAAAATACAACATAGACTCATGTTTTTGCTCCAAGGCATGAATAAAGAGACTGACACAAATAAAGGCAGTAAACGTAAAGAAGTTTCCTAATGCCTTCAGATAATAATTTGGTCTTTCTGGTCTCTATACTGGAAAGGAAGAAGGGGGCATGCAGTAGCATAGTTAGTTTAGGCACTATGCTACAAGCTGGAAGGTCGTGGGTTTTAGACCTGGTTAGGTGGATATTTTTCAATTGGCCTAATCCTTCCAACCACATTATGGCCCTGGGGTTGACTCATCCTCTAACAGGAATCTTCCTGGTAGGTTAAGGGCAGCCAACTCTTAAGGCTGACAACCTTACAACCATATGTGAGCCAACTGTGTAGAGAAAATGTGGGAACCTCAACATCTCATAACCCTATGGGCCTTCATGGCTTGTTACAGGGATGGCTTTACATCTACCTTTTACTGGAAAGGAAGAAGTAATCCAGTTGAGAGGTGTGTATTTAGGGCAGGATGATAAAGAAGATAATGGCTCATAAAGGGGACATACAGGTCAATGTGGATTCAAAACCACAGGCAGACCAACATACACTAACTTCTGACTTTGAAAGAAGTGTGGGAAGAGGAAGGTACATAAAAAAAATCACAATGTATCTGATTGATCTTGAACTCAGAATGTCTGGCACTGAAGAAAAGTCCTTCATTCCTGTGCACCAGACCCTTCTGATAGTGAATGTCAGAAGTATGTGTTCATTTTCCAGACAGTTCATAGCTTAGGACAGTCCTTTGCAAGTGAATTATCACGAGAAAAAAAATTAAGGGTTTGCAACACAATACAAAAATACAAAACAATCAGAGCATCTAAAACCAGTGGGGGGGATGAGGAACAATTATGTGCTTCCTCAAAATCAGAAGTATTGAACCTACACAACAGAATCATTTATAGTTTTTCCTATGAAGGCATATCAACAAGAGGACACAAAACAGAGCAACAAACTGTCTATAGGTACATTGTGTTAAAATTATCTTCATACATGATTAAAATTAGTGTATATGAAATCACTTACTGAGATTTAAATTTCTGTAAGAATCAGAAAGGGTCAGCATATCCACTCTTTAGACTATCTTCCATGGAGTGAGATAGACCTACCGTTTGTCTCGGCACAGCACAGTTGTTTCATCAGTAAACTATAAACAAGAGTTTGTTAGGGCATTACTTGACAGCTCATTAATTCATTAATTTTAGAAACATAATTATTTTTAAAAGAGATCAGCAATTAATGTACACTTCTTGTACAATATAAATGTAAATTAATTCTGCAATTAAATACATTTTAATGTATAAGAGCATAAATTTATTTGTTTTTGATATTTTCATTCTCCTCTGGATGCTCTAACACATGTATTGAGAAGGTATTGGGTTGGAATCTCCACCAGGTTCCACCCTATACTCACACTTCTTCTGGTTTCCTTCAGTCTCTTCAGGTGAATGCCAGGATAACAACCTGAAACAGACCATGACTCCTTCCTTCCAAATCCTATCTACTCACCATATATGGTCATCATCCCATGTCATTCTACAATGTATATAATATAAAACCTATGCAGAAGAAATGCTGTTAAATAACCTAACAAAGAAATACGTCTCCATTTCATTATATATATATATATATATATATGATTAGGTATACAGCAATTTCTGTCACAACCCTGTTCCTAGCTTCTTCAGTACTTCTGTTATTTCCTATACATAATATTTTTTTACCCAATTTCATCATATAAATAAACGAAGTGTGCTTGGCAATTAGATGCAGTACTGAAAAGAAAAAAGTTTCAGGAAGTGAACACTGACACTGTTAAATTATGTATGAGGGCATCAGGTATCATTACCAAATTGGTTAATCCTGCTGTATTTTGAAGTGTACTGAATGTACTACAAGTTCTGAGAACTGAGGCCATAACATTTTTTTAACAAACTACATAACTAACTATTCTCCTCCTCAGGTTGAACCTGTTTATCAGATTTAAAAAATTGTCACACTGTATATGTGTACATTCAGTATTATAAATACAAACTATAGTTAATTTTGTAAAGTTATGAGTTTTATTACCTTAATTTTTCCCAACATGCATGAAATTAATTATAAACAGTCTAGAACAGTAGGTACCGTATCCACTGTACAAAGATAAACTGCTTTAAACTACCTATGCTGAAGTTCAATTAAATATAATTTATAATATAAAACATATTTTACAGAAAGCAGAGTCTGAGGAAGTAATATTTCACACAAATTCTAACACATCTCAAGGATTCCAATTGAAATTATGTAAATGCATTTTTTATCATTTTAAATTCAATTTATGATACAATGTTACATTTAAAAGATAACAATGATATTTACAATTAAAACCCAACTCATGATTTAAACAGAGTAGCTATTTAACTGAACCCATACACTGTTTCAACAAGATGCCTTCAACAGAAGGTGCTGTAATATAGAAAGCACAATCATATGAAACAGCAATGCATGGAATTGCTTCAGGATAAAGCACATCTGACAGAACTGCGTACGGAATGGGCAATTTTCACTATGACTGTTCCTGGTACATTTCTCTTTAACCAAGAAGTCAACATAAACCCACAGATCCTGCTGCAAGAGTTGGCCGATGTTTCAGTACGCTAATTGTACCTAATACCATCAACCTCACTGTAAAATGGAAAAGTCAAGTGTCTTAAACTATATGTTTCATAATAACTAAAATGTTCATAGAAAGTTGTCAGTGAATAAGAAGACAGAAGTATGGTGCCGTAGTTTTATCATAATACTGTACACCATTATTTATGTGGAAAAAGAATTAGGGGAACTTGCCTAATAATACCAAACAAATAAAACGGAATACATGTGACGATAGTGGTTTGCTTCCAAAGCAGTAGCAGGAGACTAGTTTTGACTTCAGGTGAGTGACTCTACGGTGTGAGGAAATCAGAATGTGTCAATGCTCTCATGCCATTCATGAATAACCACTGACATCCTCAACCAAGCTGGAAGCAAAGTGCTGCTGGTTTCTCTCTTTTACAAGATAATGGAAGAATGTTTCCTGTTTGCAATATTAATATGCACTTTATATTTCTTTTCACTAAAGTCCAGTGGTTGTTAAGAGAGGTGTTAATGTTCAGTTAATGGCTTCAGTTCTTTGATCTGTTTTATTAGATATGCCTTCTCATCATTAAACTGCTCATCCTCTGATCGATCTGTGTGAAACCGAGTTAGGAACTCCACAAGCTTCTCCTGATTCCGCAATAAGATGTCCAGGATTGGTTTTGGTTTATTGGGGTTTGCCACAAACACCTGGAATTTGAAAAAATGAACAAATTAAGACTTTAATAATACTCTGATACACTTAACACAGTAATGTGTAGTAAAATTAAATCATCTCTGCCATACTTAACTCCATCCATACTAATGTTATGATTTTAGCATCATTCAGTTTCAGTTACACAATACTTGTATAATTCTTGGATAACTATACAGTTTCTACATTAATACATATTTCAGCCACACAAATCACTGTGCTTAATGTGCTTAGTGGTTAGTATTCTTACTCTAAAAGCTCTTAATTTTGGTTGAGACCAAACCTGTTCAACTTTGCGGATACACTATTATCCTATTTGTTAGACTTACAGGTATCAATTGATGATGAAACACTGACATTTCAATCTGGACCTAATAATGCTTTTTTTTTAATGCTAGTGGGGTGGGACTAAGTCCCTTGTACTGCGGCCACTTCTGGCCTATTGTACCAGCCCCAGATGATAGGTGAGGGTGATTGTGGAGCAATTGGTGGAATGAAGATTAGCAGGGGAAACCAAAGTACTCGGAGAAAACCTGCCCCAGCTCCGCTTTGTCCACCACAAATCCCACTTGACCAGACCCAGGATCGAACCCAGGCCACTGCGGTGAAAAGCCAGCGACTAACCGCTTGAGCTATGGCGCGGCCTAATCTGGACCTAGGTTTAGTGCTTCTTAAAATCAGTTTTCATGCTAGCGGTATGGCGAAACATCTGTGTAACATTAGTGCACACAAGGCTGAACAGTCACTTTTTATTCTGATTCTAAAAGATAATTTGCCTCATGTGGCTCAAATTTAGAAAATACACAGCATCACTTCAGGAACGAGTTCCTCATATGCAAATAATAAAAATAGTTTACATCAATATAAGTCTGGAAATGTACAGTTTCCAAGTTAAGGCTTTCTAAAACCGCTGAATGATAAACTGAATTTCATAACTTCCGCAGATGGTTTCCGTCATTCACTACATTAAGACAGTGGCGGTATCAGTCTGACAAAATCTCGAGAAGTTTCCAAATCTTAATAGGAGAAGTATACAGTAATTGTGTGTTATGTGCATGGTGATATAAAGTTGTTGAGATGATGTACTCAAGTCAAGAGCTAGCCGACACGCATTTCATATATGGTTTGGCAGACGGTAATGCTGTGAGGAACATAAATCATAAAGCTCCTCATAATGTAATTTACTCTGTCATGTTACTCCCTGCCTCACAGATTTTCAAGACAGAAAGTCTGACAAACCTTAAAAACATGGAAGGCTTCAAACTGTATGTTGCGTGACTTCTCCTTCAGCATATTCATCATCAGTTTTAGATTGTCTGGATTTGATATGTATCTTGTCATTACCTGAAATAAGTTACACACATTCAGAACTGAAGAGAAAGTAAATACTGGAACTGTGCCATCCTCTACAGTAATGATCTTCATTAGATGAAACACACAGGAACAGAAACATGTACCCAGTATCGAATACATTCTTTGCTTCCCTCATTGGTCCTTATGTTCATCTATTGCAACCATAAAGATACTTAACTATTTAGGATTTGAGGTTCTCACAGCAGTGGTCATGTTGAGTTCCATCTTCTGGGATATAATGCTGTGTACTCTGTCAAAAATCAATCAACATTTCGGAGGAAAATGTGAATAAGCCACACAAGAAACTAGCATGAAGCAGAGCTCTGCTTGGCTTAGTGTTCAAGCTTGAATCAATGAATGTACAAGGGGTGGGCCCTCTTGGCCCTTGCACTGCGACCACAGTGATCTAGTGCTTCCCCTTTAGATTATCCCCTCAGCAATCCTGCGCTTTGAATCTTAAATAAGCTAAGGCCTCACATTCACACAGGATATGTGTGGCTGTTTCATTTTCTTCTTCACACTCTCACAAGTGGGACTATCACTCAGTCCCAGTTTGAAGAGGTGTCCTTTAAGGTGACAGTGCCCTGCAAGGAGTCCCACCATCCATTGTAGCTGGTTCCTGTTCAAACATCAACAGTTCCTTCGTTCTTTTAGTAGGGGGGTCCTCGTATGAGTCCCTCTGCTTGCCTGAGTCCAGTCAAGGATCCCCAGTATTTCTTGTTATTCATATTTGTCCAGTCCCTGATTGCCTTTCTGGCAACTCCTACAGAGATACCTCAGGCTGGTTCAGGTCCTATGAACGGATGTTCAGCTCCATTCTTGGCCAATTGATCTGCTGTTTTGTTTCCAACAATACCCTCATGCCCCGGCACCCATATCAGTTTCAAGCTTGAAGATGGAGATGTGTTCCTCGGAAATGTAGGTTGATTTTCAACGGACTAATAGCATTACATCCCAAAAGACATAACTCTTTATACTAAATTATCAGTCATAAATTCTATCATAGTTATAAAAATTTGTAATAATATCTTGTACCATCATGGGAGTATTTTTTCAATGTCCAGTGTGTAGACAGAAATATACATAGATATAGTCTATTATTGGGGGGGGACAGCAAAGCTATTACACTACACAGTAGAAGTAATAATCTCTCATCTTTTTTTGAACATACACCTTACTAAAAAAAGCATAATCTTAACGAGGCCGTAGAGTCCAAATTATCCAAAATTCAATTATGACACTCCTGTTTATTTGACACAGCCAAGGCTGGCACACCTTCGCCACAGAAGAAGAGAAGCAAAGCTAGAAAACTATGAAATTTCAAGGTCTGTTGGAACCACCGCAAAGACATTTTTTTCCATACCATGGAGTGTGAAATAGGAGCCTAGTGGACCAATATTCTTCAATTTCGGGGCGTTTGTCGATTCCTGTCATGAACACAAATCCTAAGTATGTACACATTTGTAATTGTGTTCGCGAGAGTGAGGAGCTAACTCATGTGTGTTGAAGTGCTGGTGAGCATAGCGATTGGTTTCAGCTGTAATGTGATTTACTAAGTCGTCATCCAGAAAAATTTTAATCCATGAAAAGGGGTGCATTTTATGTGTTATATCAATTTTGATCCCGGAACTACCAGTAAATGGAACTATTGTTGGTACAATGTCTCTGTATGTCCATGAGATGGGCGTGTCAGGCACCGCACTCATGGTGGCTAAATGTTCATGATTACTGTGTTGTGGATCACTCTCTATCACTGTATTATTGTCACTATCAACTTCATCTAATTCAGAAATCATTATTTTCTCGCCACTTTAATCAACAGCAGAAATCTCATTCACAACACTTTCCAGCTGGTTTGTAGGAACACTCACACTTGCTGCGAGAAGCCACGGTGAAACTGAATGAATGTGAAATATTTTCTGACCTTTTCCTTCTCGAAGGGTTCTGACAGTAATATAGACCCCCATAAAGTCAACAAGGGTTCTTTACAACCATGCACAAAACTATCATAAATATGTCTTTGGTTGATGAGTGCCAAGACAGCAAAGAAGGGAAGAGTGTATCAAAGCACTAAAATACTCCAACGCCAGGGAACAGCTGGCATTGTCCAGGCACAAAAATGTGCCCGCGCCAGTCAAAGAGTTAAATCAGGAAAACCTTAGGAAGAGTAAATGGTGGTCACACTGTACATAGAATTGGTAGAGTAAACCCTCGCTAATCTGCTTATTGTTAATCCGGATCAAAATATGAAAAATGCTGTTCACAGATGAGTAATCAATTATGTATATTCTTCAACAAATCAAAAATTTCAGGAGTATCATCAGCACTTATGAAGTGTGAGGTATATCCTAATTAAAAAACAGCAGCATATGTCTGTTCAGACAAAACTTTACAGTTTCTTCAAACCTGCATTATTACGTTCAAAATCGAGCACAACTTCTAAGTCTTCTATCAATGAATAAATGTAGTCACTTTTATAGTTTTTACATAAAGGCTCTACAATGATACTTTTTTATTTATTTTTGTTGGCACTACTTTTATCATTACGTTTTTCATTTATTTGTGTTTTAAGTTTATTTCGCCTTATAGGGTTACCTTTTGATTCAATATCTGGATGACCTCTCCCCCCAAATTAATCCTGATTAGCAAGGGTTTACTGTATTTGTTTATTTGCAGGTTATTTAATGAAGTTGTATCAAGAGCAGCATAATTTAGCATTAGATCAAGACACAAGCATGATTATTTATAATGAAGATGTAAGAATGGCATAGGAAGTACTGATAATTTAATTCACAGTGATGTCATGGAATTCATCTTGGTAGACTAAGAAACACCTCAATCAAGGTAAATGGTTTCCAGCTGAGATACAACTAGAAACCTCCCAAGGGAGGTCAGACATATGGCTTCTGCATTAACCTATTTGGTAATCCTCGGGTATGTAGAAAAACTTTTTGTAACATTTACCCAAACATGTATATATGCACACACCAGAAATAAAAAAAAAATAATGTGCATTATGTGTCACATCCAGTTAAAAACATCTTATTACTTACAGTAAAATTATGCCTGTCTAGAAGCAACTCTCCCAGCAGTTTTAGGCTCTGTCGGCGTGTAACATAATTTTCTGAATTAAGAAGTCGTTGATAGTGAGAAAACACTTTATCATAATTTATTTCCAAAAATTCGGCACACAAAATCTTGTGACGTGTCAACAATTCCTGTGAAACAAGCACAGTCATTTCAGTTATAATCATCATCATCATCATTCATTACACTCACTTAAGCCTCCCCTGCCACATTAATACTTTTTCTTACAACTGATGATAAAAACATGGTTCACACAAACTTGTGAAGTGGGAGTGACACTAGTATCACAATCAAGAGTCTAGAAGTTATGGATGGTAATAGATCTTCAAAAAATATACAATTCTTCTTAACACAGTCCTTTGTAGAATATGGGAAAAACAGAACAGTGGCTACATGAAATCTAAATTTAGCTTTCAGTTTGATGACAATGATTAATGAACCAATGGAGCTACAGAGCTGAAATTTGGTATGGCAATGAACCATAAACATATCTAAAACCTGAAGAATTCTGTCTTTTGGGATATACTGCCATGCAGTGCAGTAAGTCAGCTCTGCTAGTTTCTTGTCTGACTTACTCTTCAGTCCTGAAGATGGAGGTGATATGTTCCTAAGAAAAAATGTTGGTTGACTTTCACCATCCTACATGGCATTATATCCTGGAAGACCACACTCTTCATAGTCACTGTTGTAAGAACCTAAGCCAACATACCTAGAACGTGTATATAAAACACTACTTACAAATCAACAATTACAAACATGTAGTGTGAAACTTGGAGGTTATGTTAAAAATATTTAATGTAGACGAATTTTTTTTATTAAGAATGCTTGCCAACAGCTAAAGGTATCACAGGTTGCGGACCTCGTGCCTCCCACTTTCAAACAAGCAGTTTATATTTTAGTGAGATAGAATATGCGTACGGTAAAGTTGTCCCTGTGCTTAATTAATTAAGCACTATGCCATGAAGATGTGAGGGGGAGTGGATGTATGGCTCCATCATTCTTTAACTTAGCACTAGATGTGAGAAATAAGTACTGGCCTCTGAGCCATCACTAGGCAACTCATTATCACATACTTGGTCTTTAAGATATGGGCTTCATCTCTCTGACCCACCACTCTGCTGGTCACAGAGTAGTGGAGTGGGGATGTGAACTAATTATACAAAACGCACATATATAAAAGTTTCTTCTAAACATAATTATTACAATTCCTGAATAAATATGACACAGCAAGTGAGAGAGAGTAATGAGAAATTATGGACAGACATGCTTACAAATTTTGTATACAGGTTTTTTTTTTCTTGGGGTGGGGTGAGACTGAGTCCACTTGGTATGTCGGCCACTAACTGGCATATTGTACCAGTCCCAGATGATAGATGATGAGTGTGGAGCAATTGGTGGAATGAGAATTGGCAGGGGAAACTGAAGTACTAGGAGAAAACCTGCCCAGTGCCACTTTGTCCACCCCAAATCCCACATGACCTGACAAGCCATTTACCACCTGAACTACTGCACGGCCTTGTACACAGGTTCAGTACAATGAAAAATAATATTATGAACATCATAAATTACTGTGTGTAACACAGGAAATAACGGCAGCAGTATCATTCAAAAGTTGCTTAACAACACGTTCAGTGAGTGTCTGCTCAGAATCCATTCATGAGAGTATGATAATTTACAGTGAAACTGAATGGAATTCAACTAAGCCAGGGCCTATTTAATTCAGTTTTAGGGACTGCCATAACAGCCAGTGCTCTGACCACATTTCAAACTTATTCAGAAACATCAACATTTGTACAAACAGAAGAATATATTTGTGAATCTACAAATACATAAAGAAAAATAACTTCATTAATTTATTTTTCATTTTCACTTTTAATTTACTTAAAAAAGTAGAATAGCATATACCACAGGGCACATTACAGCTAGAAAACCCTAGATTTATCACAGATTCAGAAATTTGGAATACATATACACTGAGTCCAATTTCTAAATTAAAACTTTTTACATTTACTTTCAAAATTACCGAATGTTACTGCAAGCTTATACTGTAGAACACTGGTTATCTGAATTAATTAGTGACAAATGCAGTTCAGACAATTTGATTAAATTCTTATCCATAAAAAAAACACTATTATAATGTACTGTACTATTACAACAATAAAAACAAAAAACTTTTAAAACTGAAATAACATAAAAAAATTAATAAATGTAATTACAAATTAACATTTCAAACACTTTGTTTGAAAAAGTCCAACAATGATGTTTGTTTAGCAGATGAAACTCGTTTCTCAGCTGATAAGTCTCACAAGCTTTTCAGTGTAAAACGCTTGGTTGTGTTGATTCAGTTAATTGGCAATTCAGATAATCGGCAATCTAATGTACTACCAATTTGCCTTCTCAACAGTATATATTTATGATGCCGTATCATGTGGTAATGTTATGAGCACCTACCTTAAATGTGGAAAAGGCATCTGAAGCTATATCAAATGTTGACACTTCTACATATCTGAAGAAATTGAAAAAGTCATCTGAATAGAGCATAATTTTTGCCAGTGCCTCATATCTTGCACATTCTCTGAGCATGGTACCACAATTGAGAGCAATCTCTTGATGCTCATACCTGTAAGCACAATAAATGCACATAAATAATCACTCAGTAAATAATAAGATATTAAAATATGGTGCAATTAAAGGTTCTTAAAGGGCAGAACTTGCAGATTTTAAAACATCCCATAACTAACAGACTTGAAAGGATTCTGATGATGGTGTATGCTGTACAGAACTATAAGGTTTATTTTGGACTCTGTCCATCATCTGGTATATATGAGACAACTTTAGGTCCAGTGATTGAGACTAGCTCTTTCTAACGGGCCCAACTAAGTAGGTCTATCTTAACCCCATCCACCTGTGGATGGAGACAGATCCAGTCTCCAAAATGTTGTGGTTTTTTGTCTCATATATACCAGATGATGGACAGAGTCCAAAATAAACCTTATAGTTCTGTATCCCGCAACTAGTAGTTATAAACTACCACTGTGACTGCAGAAACCAGAAGTTCAATACCAACAATGCCAAAGCATGCCATTAGACATGATCGTGAGCCGTATCTTCAAAATTTACCTCCATCAGCTTCACCATAATGTGAAGTTCCCCCACCAAAATTCTACATGCATTCTCAGTCCCATTCATGTGAGCCACATGGCCAGCCCATCACAGCCCTTAAATTTCAATGTCCTAACAATGCTGGATGACCTGTATAAACGTCAAAATTTATCATTATGTACTATCCTAAACCGCTCACTCCTCAGGTCCAAATATATTTCCTGAACTCTTAATTTGCAAAAACTTGCAATCTCTATTCTTTCTTCATATCAACAAACCACATCTACAACATAGCAAAAACAAATACACATCAAGTTGCAAAAGTAAGTTATAACCAATCTCCAGTTTACAATATAGCTTTCCTATGTCATGTCAAACTGCAAGACAACAATCAATAACATTGTCTTTTCCTTATTAGTAGCATACTGAGCAAATCTGTATACTGCCAACTATGAGTACTTTTTAACATAATAAATGTTTGTTACAATATATATAAACCTGTACTACCTTAACCCTTCCATTGTTAACCATTTAAGTTACAATGGTTATCATACATCCCGCCTGTTGTAACACTATAAAGAATACTCCGCATTTGGCCGAGAGTGTATTTATTTGTTTCATGTGATTCTTAGAGAGGATGTCAGTAACCAGTTGTCTACAATTTCGGACTAAAAATAGTCAGAAGCTTGATTTAAACCTTACACTTGGAGATAAGCATATCACTGATCTTACTAATATCAAGTTTCTAGGATTGATTATTGATGAAAAGTTGTCATGGAAGGGGCACACTGAACATGTTTTAAAAAAGTTAAGTTCCGCTTATTATGCTATCAGGATTGTCACACCCCTTATGATGGAGAATACTCTAAGAATGATATATTTTGCATATGTTCATTCATTATTATCTTATGGTATTTTATTATGGGGTAATTCACCACACAGTCTTAGTGTTTTTAAGATGCAAAAACGAATACTCCATATTATGACTAAGACTAGATGTAGAGACTCTTGTAGACAACTTTTTAAAGATTGGGAAATTTTACCATTCTATTCTCAATATATATTTTCTTTGGTGATATTTGTTGTGAGAAATAAGCATCTTTATAAAACTAATCAAGAAATTCATGGTCTAAATACTAGGCACAATACTGACCTTCATTTTCCATCTGCTAGATTAACAATATATAATGAAGGGACATATGCTATTGGAATGAGGATATTTAACCATCTTCCTATAAATATAAAATTATTATCACATAAAACTGAATTGTTTAAACCAGCATTAAAGAGATATCTTTGCTTGTGATCATTTTATTCATTAGAGGAGTTTTTTAATCAAAATAATTTGTAAATACTGATTGGATGTAAATGGGATTAACTGTATGTTATATTTTTTAATTTTAATTATATTTATTACTTAGTATTATGTGATATTGTTTTTATGATTAATGTTTAATGATTGTGACAAATGAACTTGGAGTAGTAAGAAGTAAAAGGTTGTATTTCTAACAGTGTATGAATCTATGTTGTTATGATATGGCTTGATTTAATGTTACACCATGTATCTTTTTATGTTTTGTATGAGATTGTATAAGTTTGACTAGCTCTATATCCTATGGGTGCTAAAGCCCCTGTACAGGATTTGTGGAGTTATTTAATAACAAATAAACAATACATGAGTGACCCATCAAACAAAATCTGGCTATCATTGTTTGTACAGGTACCAATCAGGAGATATAATTAAATAACATATATTTAGCTGTCTGTTTACATAGTTCTCACCTGAAATACATGTTCAAGTTATCTTTGTGTTCTCTGATGTATATGAAATACTTACACTTTAATCATGATTGGAAAAGGGTTCTTGTATCATGGGAAATGAAAGAAGCATACAAAATCTAAGCAAATGTTAAGCAGTGAAACAGTCATCACACTTTTCACATACAGAAATATGGAATCATACCACCATAACAGTTTGAATATAAGCTGCACTTTATTTCCTTAGAATCTGTATGTTTTTTTCAAACTCGCTTATATGCAGTGCCTTAGAAAATGAAACAGAAAAGGTCAAGGTCATCACTGGATTGCTTACAGTGTGTATAATGATACACAGTGCATAATTCATGCTTAAACTCATAAGATAGCACTTCCTTTTCCCCCCCGATACATACTGCTCATGCAAAATCATCTTAACCAATATCAGATTTGAGGTTTTTATGACAGTAAGAATTTATATTGTGATCTTCTGGGTTGCAACTCCATGTAGTACTGTAGGTAGACATCAAAATGCTTCCCCCATCATCATGGTTGATGTCACTTCCTGTTCAAACCATTTAATTTTAGGGGTGCAGCATATATATTCACAAAAATACAGCAATTCTTACATTACTTTCAATTAGGAAATAACACATATATATACAAAACTATAAATTTGCCTGTAGTTATTGCATGGGCATGAAACTTGGTCTCTGACATGAAGGGTATTTGAGAACAGGGTGCTGAGAATATTTTGATCCAAGAGGGATGACATAATAGGAGACTGGAGAAAATTACATTAACAAGGAGCTGCATAACTTGTACTCTTCACCAAGCATAATTACAAAAATCAAGTCAAGGAGGATGAAATGGGCAGGGCATGTAGCACGAATGAAGGAGAAAGGGAACGCATATAGGATATTGGTGAGAAACCCAGAAGGAAAGAGACCACTATTAACACCAAGACATACATGGGTGGATAATATTAAAATGGATCTTAAGAGAGATAGGATGGGGCAGTATGGACTGCATTCATCTGGCTCAGAATAGGGACCAGAGGAGGACTCTTGTGGCACAATAATGAATCTTTGGGTTCCATAAAATGTTGGTAAATTTTTTAGTAGCTCAGTGACTGTTGGCTTCCCAAGAAAGACTTATGTCCATGGAATAAGTTAGCAATTTACTATATAGCTTTCTACTTGCCCTGCCATTAATGTAAAAAGTATCTCAGGCTTTGTGCAGATATACTCGACCGTGGGTGATCTGGTGCCAATCTGACGTCGCAGAATGTTGTTGAAAACTTGTGCCACATCCTTCTTACCCTATAAACCATTAAACACAGAAATAAAAATGTAAAAACCTCATCACAGTGACAATGCAATAAATGGTAATGAAAACTGCTGTCAATGTATCTAGTTTGTGCATCCTCTTTTCTTAACTAGACATATTTCCATCTTGCGCATAAGAAGTTGATTTTCTTTGGGATGTAACAATGACTAGCCTGAGCAGGTGGGGTAACAGTAATGCTCTAGACTTGCATTTGGGAGATGCTGTATGAATCTTAGCCACGACACCTATAACCTGACTTGAGGTTCTCTGTGGTCTTCCTCAGTCCCTGCAGGCAAATGACAGGACAGTATGTCAACTAGGCCACCACTGCTTCCATTCAAATCCTTTCAAATTCATTATTCAGTTATTCTACTATATGCCATTATATTGTGTACGATACTGACAACATTGCAAAATAACAACAAAATAATGACAAGCACATGTACCATCATCACTTCACTATTTTCACCGCCCAATTATGCTTCAAAACATTAGACCAGTAACAGTCCTGACCAACTTCCACCTGAGAATTAGAATTCCTTAGCAGCAGTGGTTCCCAAACTTTTTCAGGACAGTGTTCCCTTGGTTCCATAAACTCATCTCCATTGCCCCCTGCCCTACTCTGTATAATGCATTCTTCAGATCAGCAGTTTGCACAACCCATTAAGGAAGATAATAATAAAATAAGGTATCACATATAGTAACTACTTTATCATTTGTAAATTCTTAATGCAATGGATGGCTTGATGAAAGGATACCAGATTCCCAGTGTCTGGTTTAGTCACTTCAATTGCAAATAAGCAAAAAATCACACTCGGAGGGGTCCACCTCCAGTGCCCTCCCGTCACTCCCTTGGTCCTTAGTGCCTCCCTAGGGGTCACATAGGCCCCTTTGGGAATCACTACTTTAGACAGCATCAGTTAATTTCAGTTTGTGAAAGTCAAGTTCCAACATAAGGAGAAATATATGAAGCAACCCAGGTTACATATCTATGAACAGACTAGCTCTCACAGTAATGAGTCTAACTTGCATTCAATAGGCACATAATTGTAATCACCGATAGAACCAGCTATCATTGTAATTTTTCTCAGTCCATGCAAGCTAGCAATGGGACAGAACATCAGATGTGCCTGTCCACTTCCTTCCAAATCACATAAAATTCATCATTCATGAACATTCTCACATATCACACAGGGAAAAAAGAATGGGGACAAGAAAGAAATGAAGATCAAATAAAAGTTTTTGAGTTACTGTGATCTAAAAGTTTGTTCTAGATAAGTTATTTTTCTACCCTGTTCCTACCATATGCTTGGGACATATAGTCCCACTAGGTTTCTTATATAATAATGAAATGCAGTGTAAGGTGTCAGCTATTTGGGGATGGATCACATCAAGAGTGTTATGAGCTCCTAGAAGTAAAGTCAAAGAAAACCAACCAATATAACAGTTACATCACTTGGCACAAACCACTATACATATTATCACAAAATACATGAGGAGATATTGCAATACATGAAAATGTTACAACTCTAAAACTGTCATGTTTTAAAATAAATATCATTGTGAATAAATTATGACATATATATTGTCATGTGTTGGGTATGTCACGCGACAAATAACTTCACGTGGGTCTCGGATTTAACGAATCTTTACTGAACACTCACTCTTACACACCTTACAATTATTATCTCTTGCAGTATCACTTGACTTCTGGCCCAATACTCCAATGCGATGTCTCAACTATCCTTGGCCATGGTTGGATCTCAACTGTCTCTGGCGGCGGCTATCCCAAGATTGTCTTCGTTCTCGATACTCAATATTCTGATGTGTGTCATAAGCACTGCTTATATAGGGGTTATGCGGATACCAGACAGCATTCCTCACGGTTCGGTTACCGCTTTCAGACAGTCCGTTGTTACAGGAACGCTTCTTATACAATACACCGGTAACATGTTTTGTCTCATCCGTTGTTACTCAATGACAATTCGTTGCTATGATTTGTCACTGCGGGAACTCCACAATTTCCACGTATTCGTTGTCGTGGAAGTGTCCGTTCTGATTGTAGCGGTTGTCGCAGTGATGGACATAAGGTAATGTGTCACAATATATATATATATAATCTTAACTTAATTCAGTCCAGAGCTTAAGTTTTAATTATTAGATTTTAATTTAAATTAACCTTAACATAAAGACTGGCTCTGATAATTCTACACTTTTATTATAGCTGTATAAATATTTGATATGTTCTTGCTGTAACAGCAGTTTGTGGAATAAGTGTTTATATGGCTTGATAAGAAAACAAGATCAAAACAAGTAGCTGACAAGTATCTCACACTGTATGTATCTCAAATATAGTTCACGTTCCCAGTAACGGTTGCTGCATATTGACAATGCGATACAGTAAGTCTATAATACCCCAAAATAGAAACATATGGTAGTGCAACAAAGACTATTTGTAGGGTAGAATCTAAATCTCCAAGGATAACAAGCTTAAAACATTAATTTTCTCAGTCCTCTTACCTCAAAGTCAATTCGATTGAGATTCTGGATAAGCAGCAATAGTAGGTTGCTATTGTAGAGCTCCTGAGCCAACTGAGCTACAATGATATCTGTCTGAGGCTCTGCATCAGATGTTCCATACAGCATGTTCTTAATTAGCACTAAGTTCTTGCTTACATCCTCCTGGGCCTCAAATACAAAACAGATACGAGTCAACTAAGTTTTTTACTGATTTGTTCAAAATTCAGTGAAATCCAAATTTGTTTTTTCAACATTTGTGAATTTTGGTGCAGTAAGTACACTTAGTGTAAAGAATTTTCACCCTTCCAGAATGTTGATTCAATATTACTGTGGTCAAAACAACAATTAATCAATACATTCATGAAGAGTTCTATCTTCTGGAATGTAACATGGTGCAGTCTAGTGAAATGATTTTCACTGGACTACACGGTGTTACATCCAAGGTGACAGAAGTCTTCATAATTTTAACAGTGAGATTCACAAATACAAAACTAGAGCAGTTAACCTAACAAAATACAATAAAGGTGCATACATATCAAGTATTAAAGTTTTTAATCATCTTCCTCAAACAATAAAAATATTAGCTACTGATGTGAGTAGTTTTAACCCGTTGCCGTGGTTCGTCGTGTATGTTTCGTCAGGGATTTAAATCGTCTGGGGGGGTTCGACGTGTATGTTTCATTCAGCTGCACACCTATGTTA